ACCAGCTGCTTTTTCAGCAGAAACCCTGATGGCCAGAAGGGAGTGGCATGATGTATTCAAAGTGTTGAAAGGAAAAATCCTACAACCAAGAATATTCTACCCAAGAAGTTTATCATTCAGAATAGAAGGAAAGATAAAGAGTTTCTCAGATAAACAAAAGTTAAAGGAGTTCATCACCACTAAACCACCCTAACAAAATGTGAAAGGGAATTATTTAAGTGGAAAGAAGAGACCATAATTAGAAGTAAGAAAAGTATTAAAGGAAAACAATTCACAAGTAAAAGCAAACACATAGTAAAGGTAGTAGATTAATTACTTATAAAGACAGTATTAATGTTAAATCACAAATGTAGTTTGTGATTTATCCACAAATCAGTTATATCTACAAAAATTAGTCAAAGGATAAATAAAATAAGAGGATATAAAATATGACATCATATACATGAAGTGTGGTGGGGGTAATAAAAATGTAGTGCTTTTAGAATGTGTTCAAACTTAAGTGACCATCAACTTAATATAGACTACTATACGAATATAGACTACTATACAAATAAGGTGTTATATATGAATCCAAGGTTAACCACAAATCAGAAACCTATAATAGATACACAAAACATAAGGAGGGAGGAACTCAAGCATAATACTAAGGAAAACAATCAAATCACAAAGGAAGAGAGCAACAAAAGGAGAAAGGAACAGAGAAATATCAAGAAAACAATTAACAAAATGGAAATATATACCTATCAATAATTACTTTACATGTAAATAGGAAAAATGTTCCGATTAAAATAGATAGGGTAATTGAATGGATAAAAATCCAGGACCCATCAATATGCTGCTTACAAGAGACTCACTTCAGAACTAAAGACTGAAAAGTAAAGGAATGGAAAAACCTATACCATGCAAATGGAAGTGAAAAAAATAGCTTGGTTAGCAATACTTGTATCAGACAAAATTGACTTTAAAACAAAGACTGTATCAAGAAACAAAGAAGGGCATTACATAATGATAAAGAAGTCAACCCAACAAGAGGATATATCAATTGTAAATATCTATGCACCCAAAATTGGAGCACCTAAATACATAAAACAAATGTTACCAGAAAAAAAAGGGAGAAATTGACAGTAATATAATAATAATAGGGGACTTTTACAATCCCACTAAATTTGATGGATAGATCATACAGACAGAAAATCAATAATGAAATGGTGGCTTTGAATAATACATTAGACTAGATGGACCTAACAAATAAATATACAAAACATTCTATCCAAAACCAGCATATTACACATTCTTTTCAAGTACACATGGAACATTTTTCAGGATAGATCACACGTTAGGTCACAAACAAGTCTCAATAAATTTAAGAAGATGGAAATCATATCAAGCATCTTTTCCAACTACAGTGGTACAAAGCTAGAAATCAACTGCAAGAAAAACTGGAAAATGCACAAACACATGGAGGCTAAACAACATGCTAATAAAAATACAGGGGTCAAGGAATAAATCAAAGAGGAAATTAAAAAATACATAAAGAAAAATGAAAATGAAAACACGATGGCCCAAAATTTCAGGTGGAGTACTATACTAGCTTCTAACCAGCTTCCCCACTTCTGATATTTTCTCCTGTGACAAATATCATATATTAGCTCACCTGAACTCATTCCAACCCCAATCCTAGCATACCTTACCAAATGAAAGAGGTTGGAAAGCTAAAGACTATATATCCAGAAGTTTCTCTTGGCTTGGATTCCACAGGTAACTTAGCCTCTGCCAAGAGACAGATCTGAATGTAATTTGAAAAAGTGAGTGGAGAAGAGTTCGTGATTTTGCTTCTGTGATTTCTGGTTTTTGCTAGTAAGCATGATGTTAGAGTTTTTACTTTTTCTGCATGGGCAGTAACAGACTTCCCAAGGTGTAGTTCCTGGTTTTGTGGGCATGAAAAAGTAGGTCACTGGGTATCCACTTTGTTTATTTAGATACAGAATGAGGTATTGTGGTCTTGGAGCCAACATTTGCATTATCTTAGCAGAGAAGATGTGGCCCTGGAGGCAGCTGTGGGGCAGTGGCTTCTTGAATCTCCAGGTTCCTGATGGTGCCAATTACTTGATGTTATTTTGGGAAATGGTCCTGAAATTCCACCTAGAATATGTTATTCTGATTCTTTCAGCACCTCTATAAGCATCTAATTCAAAATCCTTTCTATTTAAATGGGTTAAAATGGTTCTGTTATCTGTAATGTAACTCTACAACCTACTTTCTACAGGGAAGCTAAAGGAAATGTTTATAAAATGGAAACCAACTCCTATAACTACCTTGCTCAAAACCCTCCAATGGTTTCCAGTGCTACTTGCAACAAAATTCAAACTCCTAACTTCCTCCTGCTCTCCCCTGGCTCCTTTCACTGAAGTTTTAGTTGCTTTCTTGCTATTCCTCAAACTCGCCAAACACACTCCTGGGCTTGGCATTTGCTGTTCTCTCTGGAGCATTCTCTGGAATACTCCTCTTCCAGATAGGTGCATGGGTAAACTTTTTACTTCATGCCAGTCATCTCCTTGTAATCTAAGGTTAGTCCAACTTTACTCTCTATGACATTGCTCTCTTGATATTTTTCAGAACATGCATCACCCACTGAGGTCATTTTCCACATTTCTTTTGTATGTGTGCATCATCTCTCTCTCTCTTCGTTGGAATATAAGTTGCATGAGGGTAGGGACCTTGTCTGACTTTTTTATTGAATCTGATGGAAAGCAGTGACCCATACACATTGAGAGAATCACTAGGAATTCAGGAGAAGGAAAAATAAATAAAAGACACTGGCCATTTCTGAGCACTGCTGTGATGTTTAGGGGGTGTTAGAAGGCAAAACACCAAAGACTGAAAACTCAAATCACCTGAGAAAGGTGGTGATTTCTGAAGAATATTTTTGCAATTGTGAAAAAGAAATTATATATGCAAGCAATGTGAAGAACTACCAGACCTGTGTCTGTAATGAGTATCATTACATCATTGATATCCAATTAGAAAGGCTTGTTCGTGACCTGCTCTGCAACTCATTTGGCATTTTCTTCTATAAAAGCATGTAGTTGGTCTTTTTTTTGTCATCTGAGGAGTAATAAAACAGGGTGTTGGGGTTCATGTCATTTTAAAGAGCCACAAAACACTTTGCAAGCCTCTGCTATTTATTCAGTCTAGGACTAGGCATTCTGGGATGGAACTAAGAAGGGAAAAGCCACAGACTCTATCGGAAAAAAAAATAGGCAAGATACTCTCCAGTGGGAGTCAGGGGAGTGACTAGGAGAGGATTGACCTCTCCTAGTCAATCAGATATTGTGGATGCTCTGGAGAAGGAAGAGGCCAGGAAAACAGAGAATCAGAAACCATGGTGTCAGTGAATAGGTGATCTTGAAGTGCTTTGGAACTAGGGAAGAGTTAAATGCACAATCCACCAGCCTCTAAATAGCAGCTAGGCCACTGAGAAAACAGGTATAAATTAAACTATTCAGGGCCACAGTCAATGCCTGTCTCTCACCTCTGTCCAGGGCCTCAGGTGGCTAAAGCTTGTTTGCTCATTGCTGCCAGCCACTGTCACATTAACTATATCACTATAAGTTCACAATTACCAGTTTCATGTGGATCCTCAACATTGCTTAGTATTCCTACGGTTTCTTTAGCTACCCATTTCATCCTCTCTCTATATTTTCTTACTTTATACATGCCCTTTAAGCATTCTCTCCCATAGAAGATAATCTTGCCATTCATTTTCATGGAGAAAACAGAGAACTCTAAACTCAAATGGAAATTCCCTCAATTTGCTGTCACCAAACTTCCAGCTGCTTACATCGGTCTCCAGCCTTTAATCCTATCCTGGCTTGGACATGATAGAGGGTTTCAGACTGAGTTTGCACATGGAGAGTACTTCGGTGGTCACTGACTGGCTGTGACTGAGTTCCTCTAATAATGCAACATTCCACTGTCTTGGTTCTTTTGTTCATATGAACAAATCTCATTTGGGACTGAATTGATCAGACATTTTTATTAATGCAGCCAGAATGGAAGGAAATATCAGGCTCTGCAGTGTAGATTTCCCATGTCACTGGATTATCTGTATTAGAATCTCAATGTGTGCTTGTTCAAAACGAAGATTTCTTCTATCTGCCCCATCTTCCACTAAAAATGGTTGCAAAGATTCTGCGGTTTAACAATCTTCCCATAAAAGAATTTGTGTATACACTAAGTTTTGAATGCCACTGATATTGACCATAGCTAATTTGTTAGGTGAAAAGTTCTGGAATGGGTCTTTCATCATGAAGGAGGGTTCTCTAAAAGGTGTTTTTTTAAAAGGTAGTGTCAATCACAAACCAGGGGATTCCTCTTAGACCATTTTTTTGTCAGACAAATTTAAAAATGTTATGTCACATACTATATCTCACTCCAATATTTCCATCTCCACCAAAACACACATACACATCCAGAACCTACTCTAATGCATGCAAGAACATGCTAGTTCTCAACTTCAGCCCAGTAAAAGGATTCAGCTGTGAGAGTATTAAAGTACTATATACAATATTTAAGCCATTTTGTGAACTATAACACATCTACAGAAAAGTGAATAAAATATAATTACATGGTATAAGGAATAATTATAAGGTGGAGATTCATGTAAGCACTACTTAAGTCAAAGAAAACATGAACAGTCCTCTAGAATCCCTTCATGCTCTTTTCCAACACTAGCTCCCTGGTTATTGTGTATTAGTTTTATAATCTATTTACACATTTACCTTTAAGTTTATAAAAATAACCTCATACAATATATATTATTCTGTGTCTGGCTTCTTTGACTCAATATTTTGTTTACAAGATTCATCCAGTTTGTTGTATATAGCATAGTTTGTTCATTCTCTTTGCTGAATGATATTGCATTTATAGATATTCTGTAATTCGTATAGTCACTCAACTTCTTTTGGTATTTGGATTGGGTCCAGTTTAGGACTATTACAAGTACTGCCACTCTGGACCTTCTGGGATGTCTCCAAGGTCATGTATGCATGGGATTCTCTAGGCTAATGGAATTTGTCTAATAGTCATATTGCTATGTCTCAGGGTAAGCATACTTAAAATTTTATGGGATACTAAAATAGAGTGCTTTTTATTCATTTATAAATATTTATTAATTTCCTTCAATTTAAGGATTATTTGGTAATATGCTATTTTGTTTCCAAATATTGTGGATTTTTAATGACATCTGCGTTACTAACTTCTGCATAGGCACTATGGTCAAAGAACATAGTTTTTATGACATTAACCCTTTGGAGTCTATTGAGGTTTCCTTTTTCCTAATTCATATTCTACTTTTATAAATGAATAATGTGCCTGAAAAGAATTGCTATTCTCTTTCTGTTGCATGTATGTAGAGTTTTATATTATCTATTAGCTCAAATTTATTATTGTTTTTTTGATATTGCTGCTTATTTTGTTTGTTTGAGCTTTCAGTTTCTGAGAGTCCTAGGTTAAAATGTTCAGCTATAGTTGTTAATGTATGTGTTTCTCCCACAGTCTTAAAATTTGTTGCACACCTAGTGATGTACAGATCTTCCTTAAATTATGATGAAGTTTTATTCCGATATACCCATCATAAGTTGAAAATATTGTAAGTTGAAAATGCATAACTAACCTACTCAGCATTATAGCTTAGCCTAGTCTACCTTAAACATGCTCAGATCACTTACATTAGCTTATAGTTAGAAAAATAATCTAACACAATAACATTATTATTTTTATAATAAAGTATTGAATAATATAATTTATTAAATACTATACTGAAAGTGAAAAATAGAATGGTTGTGTGGGTACAGAATGTTTTTAAGTGTATCAGTTGTTTACCCTCATGATTGTATGGTTGATGGGAAGTTTTGACTCACTGCTGCTGCCCAGCATCACAAGTATCATACCACATACCACTAACCTGGGAAAGGATCAAAATTCAAAATTTGAAGTGCAGTTTCTACTGAATGCATATTGCCTTCACACTATCAAAAAGTCATAAGTTGAAATATTGTAAATGGGGGACTGTCTGTAGTCTGAAGATATAAGAGCAAAAATTGACATAATTATTAGGAGAAATAAGCAATCATAGTTGGATATTTTAACACACCTCTCCATAATTGATAGAAAAGCAGAACAAAAATCAGTAAATATAAAGACAATTTGAAAAAAAAATAATAAACGACCTAATGGAGACATATCTATATGTATCTATAACCATATATCAATTTCCACACCTATACCTATATTTATACCTACATCTATATCTATGCCTATATCTACATCTATATCTATGCCTATATCTACCAACCAAATGGAAAGTGTAATTTTTCCCAGTATGTATAACATTTACAAAAATTGACTATATTATATTCAGAAAGCAAGTATCAGAAACAAATTTCAAAGAACTGAAACCATACAGAGTGTTTTCTGACCACAGTGGAATTAAGCTAGACATCAATAACAAACGCCAGTTAGAAAAATCCCTACATGTTTGAAAATAGTCAATTTAAAATAACTTATAGATAAAAGAAGAAATCATAATAGGAATTTAAAATAATTTGAACTGAAAAACAATGAAAATACCAAATAACAAAAATTTGGGGATGTAGTTAAAGTAGTAATAAAGTGAAAGAAGAAAGTCTGAAAATTCATGAGTTAAGTATTTCTATCAAGAAGTTAGAAAAAGGACAGCACGTTGACTAAAGAAAGTAGAAAATTAAATTAAAAACTAAAATTTGATATTAAAAATATGAAGTACTCAGGAACAACTCTAACATAAAATGTGTAAGACCTTCATAGAGAAAATGATGGACAACGAGATACATGAAATAAGCCTGAAATAGATGCCATACTCATAGACTGAAAGATTCAATATTATAAATATGTCAATATTCTCCTAATTTATTGACAATTCAATGCAATTGCAGTAAAAAAATTCTAATACATTCCATTTTGTGGAATTTATCAATCTAGCTTTAAAATTTGCATAGAAAATCAAAGGTACAAGAATATTCAAGATACTTCTAAAGAAGATGGTAGGAGAATTTGCTCTGCCTAATATCATTATAAGGCTATAATAATTAAGACACTGAAGTTCTAGCAGAAGGATAGATAAATACATCAGTGGAAAAGAATAAGGAACCCAGGACATCTTCACTCCAACATCTGCTTTGAATGATTTCTTCATCTTCAAGCCTTAACTATGCCCCAGTTATTTGCTGAAGATACAGCTTACTCTGAAGTCTTAGCTTACCTTGAAGTCCTCTCCAGTGGAGGCTTTTTTTTCCCTCAAACACCGTGTACCTTAAGACTGGAAGAAAGATGGGTCTTCTTTACTCCCATGTTGCTTCTAGGCCAAATAATATCGGCCTTTTGAGGTTTATGCCATTTTGCTATATCATCTATGCTTATTCATGCTACCACCCATTGACCTCCTAGTTATTCTATCTTATCAAGGAATTGGGAGTCTGGCTAATGATCTTCCTCTCTGCACCATCCTATCATCTGCCAGATGACTTCAACATCCACACTGACCACCCAGCAATTTGGACTTCTCATTTCTGGTGGACTTCTCTAGCTCATACTAGACACACTCTCCCACAGACACTGCCTGGGTTTATTATTCATCAGAAACTACTCTACCTATGAATGCATACATTAAAATATCCCAGATCACAACCTCCTAGCCATTCTGCCCTCTCATTCTTCTTCTACATCTCTTTTCTGATCTTACTAAGATCTTTGTAGCTTGACCTATTTCCTGCCCATCTGTCCTCTCCCTCTTCTGTCTCATTTCCTCATTGATTTGGTTCAGTGAAATTCTCTCTACTTTCTTTTTCTGTTTACATGCAGACTTACTAAGTTGTTAATACATCCACTATCACTTATCTCCCTAAATTAGCAGCATCTCCTTTATCCCACATCCAGTTACGGCCCACATGTGACCAATTGTTGATTCTAAATTCTATGTATTTCTCATTGTGTCTTCTGCTAATTTCAGCATTTCTCACATAAATTTTGCTGTAGTCTCTAATACATTGTTGCCCTTCTTTGATCCTTTCTTCACATTGCTTCCAGGGTGATACTTCTAAAACACAAATCACTTCCCTAATTGAAGCCTTCTGATGGCTTCTTGTAGCCTTAAGGATAAGTCCAAATCACTGACTCTGGCATCTGAAGCTCCTTCCAGCCTCTTTATCCTTGCCTTCCATCATTCCACCTCTCAAAATCCTTTGGTACACTCACACCAAAACACATTGGCAGTACCCCGAATGCATAATAATCTTTCATGACTCTTATTTTCTTTGAACATTTGTTCCCTCTGCTTGGAAATCCCTTTTCCCTTTACCACTTTTCTAAGTACCTCCTCCTAGTTCAAAACTTAGTTTTCCTCACACTTCTGTGTGCTCACTTTGCACTATTATGGCATTTATCCTACTGAGCTACAGTCATTTACTCTGCTAGTTGAGAGATTTTTACCACTAGACTTTGAGCAACTTTGAGGTCAGAAATCATCTTGTGTTTCTGTCCCTAGTTGTGAGATCAAGGCCAGATAATATAGTAGTTTCTCTTTCTCTCTTTCTGTCTGTAATAGCAGTAGCTCAAACTTATTTTTTTTTAAAAATCTAATGATTATTTTTGAGAGAGAGAGAGCGAGAGCGAGAGAGAGAGAGAGAGAGAGAGAGCATGAGCAGGGGAGGGACAGAGAGAGAGAAAGGCACAGAATCTGAAGCAGACTCCAGGCTCTGAGCTGTTAGCACAGAGCCTGATGCAGGGCTTGAACCCAGGAACAGTGAGATCATAACCTGAGCCAAAGTCAGATGCTTAAACGACTGAGCCACCCAGGCACCCCAAAGTTGCTCACACTTATTGAGAGCTTACTTGATTGAACTAGGTGCTGTGCTCAGTTCACGGACTCCTTACAACTCTGAAGGATAATAATTGTTATTATCTCAATTTTACAGATGAGGTGCCTGAGTTCTAGAGAAGTGAAAAAAGTTGCCCAAGGTCACAACTCTAGTGGCAGAAGCTAGGATTTGAACCCAAAATGTTTTACTCCAGGGCTAGGGTCTTAAAGCACTATGCACCTTCTTAGGGTTGCAAAGAACTTAACCATGCATTAAGGGAACAAGCATCATTTAGGAACAAGTTACAGCCCCTAACAAACATTGGAGTTACCATCTCAGGAGGACTACAGTTAACAGCCCATTGCTAGAGGCTTTTTGAACAGGCTTAAAACTTGATATCCTCGGGGCGCCAGGGTGGCGCAGTCGGTTGGGCGTCCGACTTCAGCCAGGTCACGATCTCGCAGTCCGTGAGTTCGAGCCCCGCGTCGGGCTCTGGGCTGATGGCTCAGAGCCTGGAGCCTGTTTCCGATTCTGTGTCTCCCTCTCTCTCTGCCCCTCCCCCGTTCATGCTCTGTCTCTTTCTGTCCCAAAGGTGAATAAACGTTGAAAAAAAATTAAAAAAAAAAAAACTTGATATCTTCATGTCAGTAGATGTTCTTTTAATACATTTTTGTTGGTTGAATGAAGAAATGAACTAGTATATGGTCCTAATGATGCCTTGGAAAAAGTAACATAATATTTTTCCAAGTTTTAGTGAATTTGTTTTTAACAAGACAGAGCTTAGTCAGAGTAAAACTCCTTGTTTTGTACCCCAATTTAAATGTGAGTCAACCAGATTGTTGCAAAGGCTGTCCAGAGACCTGTCATCTAGATTCAGTTTGGCAAAAGAGCACCTCAAAATAAATCCTTGAGTTTATCAGTAAGTCTTAAGATAGAAACAAATTTGAATTCTTAGAAGTCTGAGTAGTTGGGATACATGATAGAGATTGATGTAAAGGAGACCTATGCAGTTTTGGGCCTCAGCATGCCAAGTCTTCTGTGGCTTAAGGTATACCAGATAATGCATAGATAAAGTAGCATCAATGTCACTGACTTTCCTCAGCCACACACTGAGGAACTCCAAAGCCCAACTTCACTGATACTTGCAGGGTAGTCTCTTATGCTAAAGAGTCAGGAAAAAAAGGGTTTTAAAGAAATGCAGTTATGACTG